GGAGAAAAAAACATCCCCTTTCCCATTGGCACTGTTCAGACACCTAGAACAACCTGCAAAGAGATAAACATCAGAACATCAGAGACACCATTAAAATTCAAGGGAAACTTGTCTCCCCTCGTTCACACTGAGACTCTGTCATGTAGACAAAAAGAGCAAGCCACCATTTTCTGCTGCATTATGATCGGATGCAAGATAGAAAGATCTGAATATGTTTGCCCTGGTTAAATTGTTCAGATAAGGCTTCTCAGCTGAATATTTGTCACCTCAAATATATGTGCTGCATTATTTCTTTCTGTTCTATTGAGGCTTGTTTAATTGATTTCATACTTGATCGTCTGATAAACAGGGACAATTGGAATAGGATGTAATATGTCCATCTCTGCCCCTCAAGGGTGTTCACATTTAAAGTTTAATCTGGAGAAGAAAAAAAAAGCAGAACATTCATTAACACATTGTACCATCTGTATAAAGCCGAATGCCAAAGATTTGTGATGTGCCTTGGTCTAAGATCCCATCTGCTTAAAACGACTTCCAAATCAATAACAAAAATATGCCGAGATATACGTCATAAAAACCACTGGTAAATGAATTGTGGCCCTTACGGTTACAGATGAACAAGTAAACCTATAGACATATTTAGACGGATAATTGACCCAAAAATTTAAATTTGGTCATCGTTTACTCACCCATATGTTGTTCCAAACCTGTATGACTTTATGTCTTCTGTGGAACACAAAGGAAGAAGTTTTGAAGAATGCTGGCAACCAAACAGTTTTAGTGTACATTAACTTCATTGTATTGACCAAAAAAAAAGAGAGACATTTATAAAAATATAAAGATTCAACGAATTAAATAATATAAATGAAATATATATAAAAACAAATTTTAATAAATTAATATAAATAAATAATACATATAACAGTTCGGCACTATAGTGAGTAGATTTTTTTATTTGACATAATAGAAATTAATATTTTCCAAATAATATTTTATGAATATTTGATATATATATATTTTTTATATTTGATTAAAAAAAATTTCACAGTATACATTTGGTCTGGGCATAAACTGGGTATAAATAGATTAAAATATACAGCTAATTTTAGGATCGCACCAGGATGATCATATGTATGCGGCAGCTAAAAGACTGGAAACCCCTTGTCTAGACAACAAACTTCCTTATTAAAAACATAAAAAATGTTTTAAGTAATGACGTTGTAAATTAATTGAAGCTAATGTCCTATCGCCATATCACTGATCCCTAAAAATGCTATGTTAACGCAATAAGGCATTACAGACAATATGACCTTCTGTAAAGTTGCTTTGAAATTATGTGTATTGTGAAAAGCACTATACAAATAAATTTGACTTGATATGACTGTGGCTCTTGTAGGCCTACCTGTTCAAACAGTCACCAAAGGACATCAATTTCACTCTAGGCCACAATTAGCATTTGAATATTTCACAGTTAAGATGAGATAATGATCTTAATTTGTTACAAATGCAGCAAATATGATCAGATATGAGAGATTACAGTAACAAAAAGAGTATAATGCTGTACAAATGAGAAAACAAACCACATGTTTACATTTTAGGAACTTAATTTAAATAAAAAGGGGTCTTTTAGGTTTACTTACACATTTAGTTATTTTAGTAACAGATTTTACATTGAAATACGTGCAGTGGTAATATTAGCAGGAGTGTCTCTGAATAGTCCAAAGGGAAAAGGGACACTTCAACGCTTCCTTTATTATGTAACAAGTCTATAAAGAGCACTTACCAACGGTTTTGACCTCTCCATCCACGGTTTTCACAAACTGCCTGTCTAATGAAAATATTCCAACCTGGAATGAATGCAATTCTAATTCTGTATAGAAATATGACACTCTTGATTTGAACATCATGTTTTCCTCAATGAGGAATTACGTTGTTTTTGATTGTATCCACTGTTCATCCAACGCGGAAGTTATTTGAATATATGAGACTCGCGATTCAAGAATAACAAAGTGCAGTAAACAGTAGCCTACTATTTCCGCTACAAACCAGTGTTTGGAATTACAGCAATACATAAAAATAGTTTGTTAAGAAATACCAGCGATATAAAGCGACACAACAACCTGTTTTACACAGCTAAAATAACTGGAAGTGGATGACACCGGAAGCCACGCACATTCAAGTTACAAATCATGCCCGCACCCGCACGTAAGGTAATATACGTAAATGCTCTATGGGCTCTTACACGGTCAACAAATGTAAATTGTACAAGCAGTGATCTGTGAACAGTGACTAATTATGTTGAGTACAGGTGTATTAACCTTACGTTATAAGTGTCTGCTAAATTATTTGCTGTTTGAAAGTACATGGTACACACCCAGGGGAATAACAGCAGGCAAACACATGCTTACCATATGTTGAGTAAGTAATCTGAATATTGATAATGTGAACGGAGCGCTGTCTGATCACTAAGTGGTTAGAACGTGAATTATAATGGTAAACCCTGTTCATGTTTTGTCCTGAATACCTCATGTGACAAACAACAGATTAATTATGAAAACTGAGTGTGGATTTGAAAGCTGAAGGTTTTGTAATGTAAAGTGCATTCTTAGGATTACCAAGCAGAAAACTATTGTGTTGCACAGTTCTGTTATTATCACAATCTTTACTACAATGTTTTTCAGAAAGATTTATTTTAACAAGTTTTAGATTAGAGAATATCACAGATTCTTTCAAGGTTATTAGGTTACGTTCAAAATCAAAAGAAATAAATTACATTTCTTTAAATTAATCGTATATTATGACCACTGAGAACATTTTTCTCTGTATTTCTCTCTCTCTCTCTCTCTCTCTCTCACTCACACACACATATACATATACTCTTATATAGGGTTGGGTATCGTTTGAATTTGATCAATTCCAATTCCGATTCTGCTTATCGATTCCGATTCTTATCGATTCCCAGTTTCGATTCCAATGTGGTTAAAAAAAAAAATGAAGTCAAACATTTAGATGTCAGACATATTTAAGCTATTCTGCGTCTCTTTTTGCAAAACATTTAATTGCTGCTGAATACCATGAACAAAAATCAGCTGGCTACATAAAAACTGGACTCAATTAAGAGCAGTTTGTGTGCAAAACAAAGCTGCACGATTCTGGATAAATTGAGACTTTTTTTTTTTAAATGGAGGTTGTAGTTCTCTCACAATTGTGAAGAAAAAATATTAGACAACTAAACAAAATCTCATGGAATTTATGAATGGAATGATTCATGGACTCGCTCAAGATTTACTTGTTTACTGGATGAATCAGTGTTTTTGAATGAATCTCTTGAATGAATGATTCAAAGACAAATACATTTTTAACAGCCCCCTTTTGCCACCTAAAAAAAAAAAAAAAAGATGCGCACACAGGAATTGATTGGTAGAATTTTAATTTTAATTTTACAACAAGTATCCGATACCTGACCTTAAGTATCTGATTCTGGAATTGGAATTGATTTTCAATTCCCAACCTTACTCTTATAAGAGTTATTTAATGCATTACACAATATGCAGTAATAAAAATAATGGGAATTTGAGAGAGGAGATTGATTTTGAGCTTTGATTTTGTTAAATATAATTTAAAATGGGGTGAAATGTGTGTAGGTCTTGGACACATTTTGTGAGATTTACCCTAGAGAAAGAGGCAAAATAAAAGCTTCTCCGAAAAAAATCTGGAATTTAACACACTGGGATTATCTGTTCTTTGCTTTTCTATGATAATTACACCATTTTAATGTTTGCCAGGTTTTTGCAGAATACTTTGGAGAGACACCACAAAGTGGGAGTCTAAATATGAATCAAATTAATATGCTCGCATCCTGTGTCCTGAATTACCCATGAGGCTGAAGCTCTGATATAAAAAGCCACATTGTAAAATCCAGTGGCCCATTTTCCTTCATTATCCACCCCAATCCCAAACCTCCTTACAGCTGCCGACAGCTTCCCAGCACCGCATATACCAACCTACAGCTCATCATGCCAGTCATTTGTAGTAAGACAAAGTGATGTATTCATTTCAGTTCATTTAATTTTGTTTTCTCTTCAGTGTTATGGACTGACAATGTTACAGATAATAAAGATAAGAACTGTGTCCTTGTATTTGAGGACTAAACTGTTGTACTGTTAAGAAAAAGGATAAACATCCTGGAATGTCCTGCAAAGCCAATAAATGTGATACACATCAATGTTTGTTTAGACCCCTTGAAACTGCATAGCAAAGCACAACATCCATTCACATTTTCTTCAGAAAATGTAGCTACTTATTTAGATAAAATGAATGTTCTTTGACAGATAAAAATACACTTATGCTTGATATAGGCTAATTAAGCTCTGTAATACATCCTGAGTGTGCGTTTGTAATGAAAGATTATTGAACGTTCGTGGACTGTTGAATCGTTATGACTGTCATCATAACTTTAAAGAGAAACAGCAGTGACGTTCACTATGTTGACACTTCTGTCTGGGCCATAATGGAGCTCTTATCCTGACATGCTATCTCCCTTAGACGGTTATTTTTAAAAAGAGTGGCATACAGAGTCCCTAGGGTTTTTGTTGCTAATCAGAGAACAACCTCACAGAGGCACTAAAGTACATCCGTAGAGATTAGTAATAGTGCACACTAAAGGAGCCCAGGGGCCTATACTCAGAATGCAATATGTTCTTAATATTCTTATTTTTATATGATCAAAAATACTTAATTACAATAGATGTTTAGCCAGTGACTATTATAAAAAAAAAATTAAAAAAAAAATTAAAAAAAAATTTAAACAGGCCTCTCTCTTTATTTAACTTAATAAGAAAGGTTAAATGATTAATTATGAAATTAATTTAAATTATTTATTCATTCATAACATTTTTATCCCATCGATTTAAGTCTATCACTAAATAAATAAATAAATAAATAATAAATTAGATATACATTATTAAAATGTCACATAAAATAAATTATTTTTATTTTAAATTTTATATATGTGTGTGTGTCCACAGATTAAATGCACAATACAATATCAAAACCTCAAAAGGACGATGAAACAGCATACAGACCTTTGATAACACATAGACTTTTAATACATCTCATCAAAATGATGACATGCTTATCTGTCGAATGCACTGTATCACTCTTTTTATACATGCATTTAAATCTAAATTTCTTTCAATTTTACTTGAAATTTGGCACGTAAATGCAATGGAACACAAATATTACTCTAATATAAAGTATTACCAGATTCTGCATTATATGTGAAAGTTACCTCCAAATCTAACCTTTCATCATGCAGTGTGTACAGTATACAGAATTTAAAATGTAACGCATCATGGTAATGCTCAAAATACTCTAGTGCAGATGGGGAAAAAAATGTCTAATCCCACAACTGGGCCAATCTGAAAAATGATATTTTCAAATTTAAGGAAAACTTTCATCCTCGATAAGGTTTTCTAGCTCCCCCTCTCTGCTTCCATTACTGTTACTCCCTCTGCTGTTGGAGACACAGACCATCAAAATATGAATATGTATTAACACACACACATACACTGAAACATGAGCACTGAGTTGAAATACTTAATTTAGCTGATTATCATGGCAGTGAGGTCTATTGTGAGATACCTTAGAGGGCGAAACAGCGACATATCCCTGCAGAAATTATTGAGAGAAAGAAGAACAAAATATCAGTGTCAGTGAAATCACAGGTATTATGAGAATCAGTATTGAGTAGGACGCAGTGATGTGCATTCTGGACTTACACAGTCAGACCTCCAGGGGCGGACATGGACCTGCCCTGCCTGCGGCTGGGACACTCGAACGGGTTACTGAAGGAGCGCTTCCGCAGCATGGACTTAACCAGGATCTTAAAATACAGGGCAGAACACAAATTCACTTTATTTTACTTCTAGATCCACAACATGGGACTTTTTTGTGCCACAGATATTAAACAATTGACGGTAGCCATTGACATCCATTGAATTTATTTGTTAATACTATGGAAGTTAATGGCTACCATCAACTTTTTGGGTACCGATATTCTTCAAAGTTTCTTATTTTGTGTTCAGGAGAAGAAAGAAATGCATACAGGTTTGGAACAAATGATCGAATGATCGAATGATGACAGAATGTTCATTTTTGGGTGAAAATACATTAAAATAAAATTAAAAAATGTAAATTAAAGGGTTAGTTCACCCAAAAATGAAAATTAGCCCATAAATTACTCACCCTCAAGGCATCCTAGGTGTATATTACTTTATTCTTTCAGACGAATCCACTCGGAGTTATATTAAAAATTGTCTTTGATCTTTCAAGCTGTTTAATGCCACTCAGCGGGTGTTGCATGCATCAGTCCAAAGTCTCTCACACGGCTCCGGGGGGTGAACAAAGGCCTCCTGTAGCGAATCGATGCGTTTTTGTAAGAAAAATATCCATATTCAAAAAGTAATAATCACTTTAATCTAGCTTGCGCCAACAGTTGTACACGGAAATAGCATGAGGATGACATAAGATGTCGGCGCTGCGCATGCGCCGGTGAGTCTCGTGAAAACCAACGTTTGTTAACAGGAGCAAAGGAAGCAAAGTTTCCTTAATTTAGCAAAGGAAAACCAGTCTCCTCTTGGCTTATATCGAAATCCTCCGACATTCTTCTTTACAAATCCTCGATTTGTACTTCTAATTCGTGACCGTTGTTTTGTTTTGATCTCTCCACTGCGTTTCCGCATTCGTCACTTCTGAGCGGCGCATGCACAAAGCTGACCT